GATGATTTATATTTTAATTTAAAAACCTACATTGGTGGAAGGCCCATATAATTGTGTGCTACTGCACTTTAATTTTGTACCTTTCAGATAATTATTACTTAGGAAATCAATAATGACTAAATATCACGTTTCCTTTAATAATTTTACTGCAACGGCCTATAGCTAATGTGTGTGTGTGTGTGTGCGTGCGCGTTGAGTGTGTGTGTTTGTATGCGATTTGCCTGAGATTGCTATCAGGAGCCGAAGCTACAAACAGTAATCAAAACAATCAGGAAACTTGGCAATTAATGATGAACGAATGTACTAATCATTATATCGCCCTGCTGAGAATGTCAATGCAAATGATGATGATGATATATCGGTTATGACGGTAAATACGGATCTGACAATAACGTTTCAAACCACTACTTGGAAATAGTCCAGTATTCGCAAGCTAACCTTCAATGACACACAAGCGAAATGAATGAAACGAATATCAGTCTGCCTTTGAGGAATAACAGCAGTTACAGAAATATGAATCACGCTGTTAAAACTACAATCTACAAAGACTCTGTTTAATTCCATCTAATCCGCAAAAAGAATATAAAGTTTAAAAACGTTCTGAAGACATCTCAAGACAGGGCGACTATTCCGTACAATTTCCTTCGTTTAAACGAAGACAAATTAATTAATCTGTTGTTGCAGCCTTTGCATGTCTGGAACTCACAATCATCCTAGAAAGGCCATGATCCCATCTGCGTATGACAACAAAGTTCAAATGGGCAGCTTAGGTGGCAGTTGATCCTGTATCATCGTCTTCCGTGATCCTTCATTTGCTATTTAATAGAATTACAGTTTTAAATCCAAATAGTCTTGAAGATTTTTTTTATCAGTAAAGAGTGAACATAACAGAGAAACAAGAACCGAACGCATCGCATAGCTCATTAAAGGAAACCTACTGTCAGCGCTCACCGCTTCCCCAAGTTCAATGCTCGAATTAATGACCACGCGGTTTGCTGCATTAATTAGCTAAGTACAGTCGACGAAACATTGTGAATATTCTAGTAATTTTTCAAAGTCAATTCATTGAATAAAGGTATTATTTGCTATATTTACAAAACAGCTGCAGTGCGGATGTGCACAGGTGAACATCCTCAGAGTTCTAAATTATATGTATGCTTTTAGATGTCCTGTATTTTCATTCAAAAAAATCACATCAAGTAAGAAACTCAATCCTTCTCTGGAGCATTTGGAACATATATCCAAATGATATATTCAATGAGGAATACATTAGAACCCTTTGAAAGGCTGGTAAATTATATACAGCCGCAGTGGACGAGACCAAGAGGTGGGTTATGTCTGTAAATAAGGAAGTTACAACTCTGTAACTGAACTAAATTCAATATTTCTTATCACATCCAAATAAATAGTAGTTTCATTTTCGTCAAAATTTGATTTGTGGAAAGTCATAGAGTCCTGGTTTAAGATGAAATATTATTATGATATTAATATAATAGTATTCTTTCATTTTGTTTAAAAAGACAAATCTAAAGGTCTGAAGTCGCCGTGATGTAACAAGTACATGGCAAAATTGGATCGATTATAGTGTAATTCAACTTGAACCAAATGAAATCCCAGACTTTGAAGGGGATTCTGTTTTCCACACCCGAATTCCTGAATGTGTTGAACTGTCATTGCAATAAAAATGCTGCTTTTTTGCCGAGATTCCGATTAGTGGTTCTTCCTCCTTCACTTGCAAAAGTGGAGCCATGTTACCTATCTTCCTGGGCTCCCTACGGCCATAACCCAATGTCAACAAAACAATGCACGGTCTCACTGTGATGGATTTTTACTAATTGCTATTTATAAATATAGGGGAAAGAAAACAATTATAAGGTAAATGTTACACTCGGATATGGAAGAAGAGGTGATGTTGAGAAGTAAGGTTATCAGATTATTTCCTACCTTTCTGATTCTTCGTCCTGTTCGCTTGGAGTATGTCTGACTGCATTTTCAGAAATCAGCCCGGACGCAGCACAGCGCTGGTAAAGGATTGCATGAATACACACGAATAAAAAGAAAACTTCTGCTCTGCTAAACCACCAAATTAGTGTAAGGTCAGAATACGTCGCGTCCATAGTTCAACTATTTTGCTACTTTCATGACCGCCTTGAATCTATTTCAACAAGTAAATGAATATTCCATTAATCGGTGTCCTTCTGAACAGCGAAATAATATGCATGCATTAATTTGTATTTATTAACATTAATTATTTGTGGCCTGTGCGTTTTGTTACTTGGTGTAAACCAGGATTAGAGACTTTGCAAAGCGATCCAGAGTAACACGAGCTCTCGTCTGTAGTGTATAGAGCAGACTTTCCGAAACTTCCTTTTAAAGGCATGTCATAATTAAAGATTTCATGGTCCAAACTGGATAGTTGGATACAGAAAGATAGCATCTGTATTGCCCTCACTGTGTTTCTTGTGTGATTTGGTGCATTTGGCATATTAGCACCCGAGTGGAATATCAAAGTCAGATACAGCCCATGCCATCTGTTTGACTTGCATCGAACGCCGAAGGCTTGAGCATTGCTGAATAAATGCTCATCGGCTTTAGATTAATTTCATTTAAATCAACAGCTAGGCTTGTCATGGATAATAAACTAATGGAGGTTTGAAGAAGATTCATCGATAATAATCGGTAATGGCGAACTCGAAGTAAGCCGCCTTGGCTTTTTGCTTGTGATAGGGCATATCTTTCCGGGGCAGAAGGATTTAGTGAGTCTGGAAGCTTAAATTCAGATTTTCATAGATTTGTGTCTCAATCCACTACCCAAGAACAAAGCAATTGCAAAATCATGAGTTTCATCTATCAAAATACCAATTTCTTAAAGAAAGCATCCTAAATTTTCTATTGAAAAATAATTTTTGAAAGAAATATACTGCCAGCACTGCCATTTTAAAGCTACAAACCACTGTTTCAAGGAGATTTCACTAATAAGTGCATGTTATCTCTCCTTGCCTGACACGATTTGTTCTGGCAGCTGAGCTCAGTTCACTCTTTGAAAGTAACACGTTGAGAGCGCGCATGCTCGCGGTCTCTCCGCGGAGCCTTCACGCTTCTTCCTTCCTGCAAAAGCACCTCCAGGAACTTTCCGCTTCCGCATTTTACTCTTTTTTTTGTTGCCTCACCCCACAATCACCAAAACCTTTGCAGCATTAGTGCAATCAGATCAAACAGTCGCTCTTGTACTTCGTTTCTCCCTTTCCCTCAAGGCGAGGTATAGTTACTTCAATGTAAGAGAAAACTGCTGGGGATTTAGCCTGAACCAATTGAAAATCTGTTTATATAGATTTCATTGTGGATAATACTCACATATGTACACATTAAACGACTACACCCTTTTAAAACAACAGTATTCGACAAGCCAAGTCGTCTCACAACATAAAAACTGTAGAAGCCTATTGAAATAACGCAGCTATCTGTGGTCCAACTATAGTTTAGAGCTGTCTCAAATAATGTAATTATTTGCCTGGATTTAGAAGCAATCCAAATTTTGGTGATCTACAACATTGCAATTTTAGACAGTTCCAAAACGATTCCTCTAATATAAGAAAAAACGTTAGAAAACTCTAAACTTTCTCTTTTTTTCAGAAAGAGGGGGACGTGATACAGCCTTTTAATTTGCCCCAGAATCGTTTCACTTGTTAATCGTTTTACTGCATAGATGGGTTTCAATAGACATTCCCGTAGAAATAGAAATCTGCGGTGGAAAGATTGTGTTCCTCACACAAAAGCAACAGTTTCAAAAAGATTCAATTATCGCCAAGCAGCGCAGAGCGAAACAGATCGCTGCCAAGTATTTACAAAGGTTGAAGTGAACACGTTAGCTTCACATGAAAAAAAAACAATCGTTCATTGAGGCTAATAACTTTTGTTACCAGTCACAATTAGAATAATAAAAATAGATGTTAATTGTTATTAATACAGTGATAAATCAGAAATTTACTGCAGTCATGGTTTGCGTAGCAAAAAAACGGAGAGGCGAACTCCTGTTTATAAAGACCCTTGGAAGTTTGGGTAGCAGCTTCTCTTTAAAGTAACTGTGGAATCTGCCTATTAATAACTTTTGGTGCAATGTTATCTTTGATACAATGTATATATATATATACAAGATCTTTGCTAAATGTTTAGACCTCGACAAAAGTGCAAAACATCCAATCATCTGATGGTGTTTGTTGGTTGCTGTAGTTAGCGGTTGGGTCTCATTTAAATTTCGTTTTAGTTGCCAGAGAACCCGTCACGGATTTTCTCAATCGTTATCCAAAGCACACAGGGATAGATTTCAAAAAACTTCACAAGTGAAAACAAGTTCAGGGCTCAGTTCTATTTTTAATTCACGCCTGAATTAACAGCCCGGGGCAATGAACGACATTAGTGCAAAGGTGCTGGCGGTGGACTGTTAGTCATGCAAATAAAGACTTCTTTCAACACTTCACAATGAACTTAAGATTCATGGGGAGGAGCTGTAATATGATTAGCTGATTAAATGGCGAGTCCTCGTATTTACTGTTTTCATTTGCCGCCATAAATAGGAGGAAGTTACTGTCTCCAACCCAATTTCTTGTATAATTTGTCAATATCACTCACTCGGCTGCAATAATGTTCCTCATGAAGTGGATAGCTTGTGAGATAACTTATTTAAGTAGAACGTAAGTACATTCATTCCTCCCTCCCACCTCCCCGCGATCATTGGACCCCATTTTAATATGAGTGATTAATTTAGCTGACGTTTACATTTTTTAAAAAAGTGTTCTTTACGAAATCCAAGAGTATAATACCCTTCAATGCGTATTCCCTTTTCACACAAACTCCTCCCTTTGTAGTTTCTGTGTGTAAGTATGTCGAACCATTCAAAGTAACTTCGCAGAGAAAGACACAATAAACCACCAGGTATAAGAAAACGGAATACTATATTTTGATTTAGAAAGTTTTTTACATATAGATAAACACACAGTTGGAGAAACAGTGACTAGTAAGCGCCCTACATAAACTCGGGAGATATAATAGAACTTCGTGGTTGCTGAAGATACTCAAAATAGCACTTTGCATAAAATTACATCGCACTAGATTTATCTAGTTGGATATCGCCCCACCCTCCCCACTTTCTTAAGAACCTAGTACTTTCGTCAGACGTTTGACACAATATGCAAGAACACTGAGTCTGTAATCGAGACAGAAAGAAAGAGAAAAAAAAAAGCAATATCATATACAGGCATTTCTACACATATATTACAAACTGGGAGAATGATCGCGTCATTAGATATACATAATTCATATAAAATTTTGAAATAAAAAATAAAAATCTGTTACAGTCATAACTATTCTTCCACATAACCAGTACCCACACAGGCAGTAACAGAAGTGTAGAAAAAGGTGCTTACGAAAAATGATTGTCTGCGGAACAGAAAAACGATTCTCAGCCTGGCTTCGGGGGTCTGACCAGCACTCGGACTATCGAGAGCAACAAAGGCGACGAAGATTCTCTCATTCCCTCTTCCTTGTAGATCCTTGTAAAAAATATTAACGTAGATTATTACTTTCCCAGATATAAAATACATCATGCAAGTCGGGTGGCTCCATGGAAAGCGCTGGATCAGACGTGCTTGCCTTAGATTTGTTTTTTTTTAAACTGTCACTTTTTTCCTTCTCGAATGTGTTTTTTTTGTTTGTCTCTTTTTCTTAAAAATGTTCATTAAATGTCTTTTTTTTTGTTTAAATCTCAGGTCCATAGTCCTTCGTGAATGCTTTAAGAGTTTGTTTTGTTTTTGTATCATACATCACATTCACTGTCGCTAGAGGTTACCGAGAGAATGGACGTGGCCGTCTCGGCTCGCTCTGTCATGCTTGACACGCTGGTAGTAGGGCTGGCGGCTGTGGACGGAGATTCCGCCGCGCTGTGAGCAGGGCAGCCCGGCTCCGAAAGCGTACAAACCCCGCTCTGTCCCACTGCCTGATGTTGCAGCCTGTCCGAGACAAACAAAAGAAAGAGAGTTAAGGAGGGAGGGAGGTAGGGATTCACAAATCAAAACAGAATTATTAAATATTCCTCATGGATCGTTATTTTGGAAGACCAAGAAATCACTGGAACAAATAAAGTTATTAAAAAGCAATTTAAACCTTGTACTGTTGAAAAGCTAAACATCGTTAAATATGCAGCAAAATAGCAATAATCGGGAGTTCCATGGGCACGAATAGTTTGTTTTTTTTAGAATAATAAAATAGTAATTGTTTAAAATTTGGTGGAAGTTTACATATCAGATACGGCCGTTCAATCAGCATTGTTGTTGCAATTTGTTTGTTGGGTTCAGTTAGCATAATGTTCAGAAACTGACCAGACCGAAATATGTATTTAGTTGGTAACAATTGCACTCTGTATGTCTTCAAGTTTAGCGCGCGTTTCATTGTATTGCTGCTGGGGAAAGTGCTCCTCGAAAGATAAGTTAGAATGCGGTCTTATCGGTGCATCTTATTGCAGCCCGCTTGCTAAAACGATGCTTCAAGTTATTCCCAATTTCTGTGCTTAAACTATACTCTGGCGATATTTATCATGTTAACTTGAAATGCTTAGAGGCACTTTGAATGTTAGCAAGTCAAACAGTATGTGTTTACTTTGGATAAAGAGATATTGCTATCGCCTGCAAAGTAAATAATGTCCTGTATTGGTTTGAACCCCCGCCAAGTACGCCGTCTTTATCGTATTTGAAGAGTTAAGATATCTCAAATATTGAGGTGGGTACCCAATAACTTTTCAGAAGCTGAAAGTAGTATTAACATCCTCAGTGGCACGTAAACCTTAGTCAAATATCCAAAGAACTTCAATTGTCGTGGACTGGTCTAGCAATGTATTCAGGATGGGACTTCTCAGTTCATGGTGCGAAATATAGCGTTTGCATATTTTTCAACGAGTGAGCGCCAGTTCATCGTGTTATTCATCTCAATTCAAACGTGCTTACTTTGGTTTGAGAGTAAACAATTGTTGATTTGTGTGTCCTTTTACCTAAAGCAGGAATTTGCAGTCTCCCGGAAGTTATTCCACGTTCTCTGATAGTTTAATTTCTCTTGGCTACAAATTAAAGCATTTCATAAAACCAGACGCATTTATGCCCATTGACATTATAGGAAACTTTGAGTCTGTTTCTGAACCAAACAAAAATACATTTAACGTATTTAAGTTAAATTTTGTCCAAATAATTATATCATGTCACCCTTCACTGTAGTGAGTAAAGGCATCACTTTCTCTCATTGGTTCCAGTAAATTTTACTTTTAATTAGACTGTCTTTAATTTCAGCTTCTTACACAAATTGGTTTTATTTTACAGAAGTTTTTAGTAGATTTTGTTTTCATGAAATTGCGATTGGTGATCGTTTTAATGGAATTTATACTGTTAAATCCGTGGTCAGTTGTGATCCTATTTTATAACTGATACTTCGAAATTTTTTAAAAAAGATTCTTACACCGTCCAATAACACCTTCCCAATATTGACCATTGCACTGTAATTTTGTTCATTTGCTGAATTGCTTAAAAAGTTTGCCCTGAGATTTTATTTTGTTTCAGTTAGTATCCTGGATGAGCATGTTATTTTATTCATTAAAAAAATGGTGTACATTTAAACAACGTTTTATCTTGTGATTTTATTTACTGCGTTTTGATGAAGGTTTGCTGAGTTTCCGAAACATTTACATGTCAATTTGACTAGTTGGCAGAAGGGTAACCTGGAAAAAAAACCCCACCGACCTGTTTTTGGCGGCCGCCGCTCTGTCTCTCTGCCTGCGGTTTTTAAACCAATTCCCCACTTGTGTCGGGGTCAGACCGGTTGCCTGGGCCAGTTCCCTTTTTTTGGAAGGGTTTGGGTATGGGTCCTGCAAGTACCACTCTCGCAACAAGCTGCGCGTCCTCTCCTTGAAACAGTGCGTTTTTTGCTCGCCGTCCCAGATGGTCCTGGGCAGGGGGAACTTCTTGCGGACACGGTACTTGTCGACTGGCCCCAGAGGACGACCCCTCAACTTCTCGGCCTCCTGGTAGTGCGCTTCGAGCCACATCGCCTGCAGCTTGCCGTGGGACTCCTTGGTGAACTTGTGGTTCTCCAGGATGTGGTACAAGTCTCGGAAGTTGCCCGTGTGGAAGGCCACGACCGCCCGGGCTCGGAGGATCGATTCGTGCTTGTTGATCGCCTCGCATGCCCCCGGCGCCACAGGTAAAGACCAGAGAAAGCGTCCCAATCTCTCGATGTCGCCCGTCTCCTCCAGCGTCTCACAGACGCTGGCCACTTGCTCCGGAGTGAAATTGATGGTCGGTAGCTGGAACATTGACAACTCTTCTTGGGGCCGGGAGCTGGCTAAGAGGAGAAAAGCGCGCTCGGCTGAGTTTGGTAGAAGGGGAAGGGCGCTATACAGCTCGAACTGGGACCTGAACACCATGGACTGACTTGGTGATTTTTAATATTAAAAAAAAAACACAAAAACGTGTCAGATGCAACGAAATCGCCTAGTGTCACACTCCCTCATATTATATCCCCAAAATACTGTGTGGAGCACTGATTTTTTTTTCGCTTTTTCTATTGGTCTTGGCGGTGTCGTTGTAGCGTTGCCATGGCGCCGCTGTCAATCACTGTCAAACGTGCCAATCAACCAGCAGAACGTAGAGGCTTTCACCACTTTTGCACTGCGTGGGGGTTATCTGAAAAAATCTCAGCATCGCCCACCTACCTCTTGAAAAGTTCAAATGTGAAAGCCTCCGCGCTCTGATTTGCTAAGTGGGACGAGTAATTAGAGGATGGGAAATATTACCGCGATCTTAACGAACCTCGTTAAGGTTGGAAGACGGGGCGAAAGTAAATGGGACAGCCTAAAAGACACGGTGGAATCGAGGGCTCCTCACTGAGACAGTTTAGACATGATTTGCACGTAGTTTCACTTCATTCTGCCGGTATGAGCATTAATAGGGCTGGGGAATAAAGGAAAAATGAGATCATTAGACCCATATACATGTCATGGCTGTGTTTGTATAAGGAGATTTTTTAATCTGCCTTCAGCACTGCGCTTTCTCCCGTGACCATAACTCTTGTTAATTAATAGCATAATTGCCAATCCGATGCCCATTTGAAGTATAGCGTGCAGTAATAATACTGTACATCGTTATGGCACTGGCTGTGTATCATTGCAGCTTGAGTTAAAGACTTCGCACAGATAGGGCTATTTGGGGATCCATGGACCGGATGTGGATAGACTGCAGGTAGAAGTTAGTGTATACCCCTTTTTTTCAAGAAAAGGACTCTTTCATTTTGAATCATTGGTTTATAGTGGCTGGAATAACGCGTTGCGTTTTAATTTTTTTTTAATTCCATCGGTCCTGGCGCTGGGAGCTCTGCTGGCCGTTGCTAACGTGCAACTATATTCTACCATTAGGTATGTTCGCCTTTAAGAAGGTTTAATCAACATCTTGAGCTGGTGGCTTTTTTGTTTGGCTTCTGTAACTATGGAAGTGTGATTTACAAAGATTTGTACGGGTCATGAATGTCTTTCCAGCCTTACTGTGTATATTTAGACACGACTTTGCTTGGTGTTAAAAAGTGTATATTTTGAATGGGTTCACACACAGTAGCGAACAATACGGACATTGTACCGGATTGTACAACGCGTATTGAAACGCAGCATCCAGACTTCAACTAATCTGCCCTCAATAAAGCTGAAATAATTATCCTAAGCCGCCTTTCTACGGGGTAAAAAAATCATTGAGGAATTCAAAACTTTTTTCCTTCTCTGGTCTCTTCCACATTCCAATGGATTTCGAAAAAAAAACGCGAGGCGAACGGTTATGTACCCAATCTGCTTTCCAGGTCCCGGTGAAAAAAGATATTGCAATTAAAAAGGGAAACAGAGAGCGAATTTGCTGTGCACAAAGATAATAACGCTAATGGGTGGTATGGGTTCTTTAATGGACTGCAAACTGTTTGCGGTCCTGTCATAGCGCACTCCGCATGAAGTAATTCCAAGTGGCACATGAATAGGTCCAGTTGGGAAGGTTGTTCAACTGGAAACGGCGATGCTCTATTACACATTCGCTGTAGATTTCTATTAAAAAGTATCATCTACGCCCATTTAAATGCCCTAAATTGTTTCATTCAGAGAAAACAGAAAGAGGCAAGCTTCTAGCAGCATAATCTCTACTTTTATAATCACTTTAATTTTCGTTCATTGCTTCACAAAACAAAAGAGATAAAAGAAAGTTTAGGAAAATGCTTCTAAAATGTTGGATTAATACCCCTGTAGGTTAACCCTGTGAGGTCCGCGGCAATCTACATTTATGTATCTATTTCTTTTTTTTTCAGGCACACGAGAAGCTTCAGATCTTTCAGTCACCACAGACGACCACCTTTATCCTACAGTCTTACGGGCAGTCATCAGTGTAACTGAACAGAAATCAGTTTGAATGGTAGGTGTTGCCATTTATTTTCTGCCCCGCGCAAAACAAAGGGAAAAGATGAAAATGTACAATATGATTCCTTCTCTCTCTGTAACATAGATGTCTATATAGTACATACAAATGCAGGTGCTAGGAATAAAGGCAATGATGTGCGCGGTTTTCAGAGCCTATTCGAGAGACATTCACATAGTAAAGCTACAAGCACATAATTATTCGCTCAATCTTTGTGTGAAGAGTACAGGGTGTAAATGGCTTTTTAATGACGGGCAGCTGGCCGCTGCCGTTTGGAGCAGTGACCGTCAATGAAACAGCTTCATTCAAAGCTCTGAGCCCTGTCCGGCTCGTGCAACTGTATCCTCCCCAAAAAGAAAGCAATAGCGAAACAAAAATCACAATTATTAAGAAATGCTGCAATTATACAAAGTGACAGATCAGCATCCGGAAAGGTCCAGGACTCTTTCCCCGGAGAAGCCTTTCAGGTTCCTGTAAGTTTCTGTTTTATTGGAATGGTTTCCGCTTTTGTTGCGGCCGTTGTGTCTCACTGCTTTGCATAACGTATGATTAAAGTTGGATTGTGAAAACTCTCAAACCATTTTCAGATTTAACTGATTTATATGGAGCATTATAGTACAGCGTTGCTTGATCAACCGTGAAAGTTTACACATGAAAAAGAAACGGAAGTGTGGGCCATTTCATATAATGTTGACTCTGTATACATAAAGTAAGACGTTTATGAGTCTAAATAGTTGGGTCGGATAATATGACTTAGAATGTGTTAACTATTAATAAATCTGCTGCAAAGATTGAACTTATTCTATGTTGTTCTCTTTTCTCTAATCCAATATACAACGTAATGCTTTCGGAGACTTTTTAGTTACCCCTTGCAAGGTGGGGAATTGGCTTATTATTTTTGGTATTGTCATGTCGCCATTGTCGGTATTGATGTAGCAAATAGATTCGACCCTTTACTTTCGCCTTTGTTCAGTTTTGTTTGGCGTTACTTGTTAAATTTCCATTTTGTTTTACATCCTCTACTACTGTTTCCTCTACTCTTTCCTCCTGCGTTGACCTTGTCGCTTTAAGGTGGCTGGTTAAATGTGAGCTCCGCTGGGCCTTTTTGCTTGACGCTATATTCATTGCCAAGACGGGGCGCAAACAGCTCAGATTTATCGACTGCCAATACAGTCTGTCCTCCATCCTCAATGCTGAAGTGAATTGCATACATGATTTTATTTAGTTTTGCTTGCATTGTTGATTTTATTGTACCTGATCCATTCGCGTTACAGTAGTTGCGTCATGGTTTAACTGAGTTAACTGTATACACGATATTCGGTTACAAGCAATAGTTTGCCTGGATTTATATGCAAAGATATGGGCTTCATTCTTTTGGGCCATGGGTTTATAAATTTCACAGATAAATCAGATCGTCTTTGCACCTTAGATTGATTAAAAGTAAGCAGTCAGATAAGAACCCGCTCAAATGCAACCAAATTATTTTAATTAAAATGGAGACCGAAATGGAGCATATATAATTTCTCCAAAAACGAGCATCAAATATACTCGAATGATATTGAAAAATTGTAGCCCTTATATTAGAGGTAGAATCATAGATCTTATTTATTAACTGGCGTTATTAACCGTTTCTTTATATATTGTTTAAAGAGGGTGCTGGTTTACTTCACATTGACTTTTACGTAATCAGGAAGTAGTCGCGTAGTTAAATGCATGACAGCTACTCTTCCATTTCGAGTTTCTTTCTATGCATAAAAGAGTAAACGCTCAAAATTAAAGATGTCAATAGCACAGTATTCGGAAATTTGGGGTCTAGAGCAAGTCGTTCCAATGAAGTGCAGACCAATTCCCACCTCCCCACCTGCGCCATCAATGTTAATCTACTAAGATTCAACAGAAACAGTTAAACATCAGGGGCGTTTACCGTCCCTTATGAATTGAGGACAATAAGTTCCAATTTGAAATTGCGCTGGTCTATCTGGACCGAGGGGTGATGGTGTGAAGTTTTAACCCCGGAACTATGCAAACTTGACCAGGGCTTTTTTTCCCCCCTGTCAATACATCACAGTGAAGGATCTGTATGTGAACATTACAAATCTGCTGGCTTCTCGAAGTTTGCATTAAAGAGTTGGTCATAGTTGAAATCATAATCACGCGGATACGCTAAGCGAACAGGTTGGAAAGAATGAATTGTTTGCTCTGCAAAACGTAAAAAAAATTGTGAGGGTATTTGCATTTTGAATTTTAACATGTTGACAGTCGTGTATGGGCGTTTAAGGATGTAAACAAGGAAATATTAAGGAGTTAGAAGGAACCATTTGTTCTCGCAGTTTCAACAACTGTGTCGGCTGAAACAACTGTTTCAATCGACCGGTCGCTGCCTCAGTTGAGCGCCGGATGCGCAGTTGATAGTGAGAAGGGCGGCAGGCATCAGATTGTGTGTTGAAAGACTTCCTAGTCTGTTTGTAAGGACATTTGGAATTTCTTGCCAGTTATTTTCCCTGTGGCCTTTATTAAGTGCACATCCTGCAAGGGACAGCGTGTTACAAGAGGACTGTCCAATCAGGAGATTTGCACGCCTTGTTAGCGATATTTAATGAGGTCGCTCCATAGACAAAAAATAAAGGCGCTTTACCGTAGATTTACCTTATGTCAATCCGTTACTTCTAATGAATTGAACAAAGATGTACGTCCTAGCCTTGCAAACCCAGCAGTTTTTGTTTGTGGGGGCGGGGGAGGGGGTCTGGAGCTGGCGGTGGTGCTAGGGTGGCTGAAGTTGCTGGGAGGAGGAGGAGGAGGTGAAAGGTGAACGCTGGGCTTCCTGCTACCGGGTTATGTGTATGTGTCAAAACGAATTAGTTACAGGAATAAAAGCACTGAATCCAATATAATATCATATGGTGCTATCATGGCTCATTGGTCAGTCGGCTTGACATTTCAATCTGCTTTAGTCAAAAAAAGTTGACTTAACTGCCTCTATATAATCGGTCCCTCGAGCTGCCCAAAGCAGATGCCCATCGTGCTTTCTCCCGAATAAACCGCTCGATTGCTATCAAATTCAGGTAACCTTTCGATTGCCAATTGCTTGCCTTTGGCGTATGGCATTGTGCCTCTTCCCCTACTGGGTTAGCACTTAAAAATTAATTAGTCTTTTCAAATCTTAAAGTAAATTATTCGAAACAAATGTATAGTGCTCCCCCGAGGGACAGCGAAGCAAGGATAAAAGGTTTCTTTTTAGGTTGTTTTATTCCAAAGCCTGACAGATGATGAAAGAAAATTTGCCAAATCCGTTCCCGTTACACTGGCTGAGCGCCTTCATTAATTGGTGCGTATGAGAACTAGTTTCTTACAGTAAGATGTTGTAAAATGCTACCGGAACTTTACACACTAGCGATGATTACTTTATTTGGATTATGGACAGCTTGTTATAGATAAATGAGAGCTATACAAGCCCAGCTCAGCAATCACCATCCCCCCATACTATCGAACACTCTGCACTATAGACTAATTCTAATCCATTAGCCTGGCCTGCAGCAGATACATTGATTTCCATCACCCGCATTGCACTCAATAGATGAGTCAGTCAAGCGCAAGGTTTTAGGGTTGGAGGATTATCACGCCACTTCACTAAATAATAACACTAATAGTAATAAACTAATGACAAAAGCGCATCTCCTTAGCTTTTGATCTTATACAATCCTTCTCCAAAGATCTTGCATTAATTTCATATGCTGTTGAAAGTAAATTTACGTGTTTTAGCTGAAATGGCATAATAGTATATTTCATTTAATCATGAATTGACATGGCCTCTACCCCAAACCCCTCCGATACTCAAATTGGTAAGAACCTTATATCACGTGAGGAATGGGAAATAAACTTATCCAGCTCGAACACGCGTGCATTTTCTCTTTTAATTTCCCATCACGGTCTAATCAACTTCGTCATCCTTTTTTTTCATTATGTTTCCTTTCCTGGTATTTATTCTCGTCAATATCTTCCTCACAATCAAAGTCCAGCGACTTGTTTATAACAGCGTTATAACTACGACTGTAAGGGCAACTGCGGCTTTTCACAGTGATGACACTGCATCTTTACGTGCTTTTTCTGGGGAAAGAAAAGTTTTTTTCGTGAGCTAAACTTTGTGGGGCGTTCTCGGTCTGAGCTCCTGTATAAAGGGGAAGGACTTTCTGAATAAAATCGAATCAGTTAGTTGTTGTTACTATTTGAACACGAACATATGGATGTCATAATGCTTTATTGTTGTGGTTACAGCCATTGTTTACACATGCCATTTAGGAATCAGAAGTCTGGCTGACAGCGTGGAATTAAATTCATAACAACAGTCTCTTCCATACCTTTTCCAATGCACGTGCAGGATTACTTTCTCAAAGGGTAGTGGGACAGGTCTGCTGCATAAACGTGGGCAAAACGATTGGTTACTTTCTGTCAAAAGTCGAATAATACGTCGGCGAGTACAGTTAGTTTCAGGAGTTTTCTCCGGCGACTTATTCACCTGAACTTAAGTGCAGTGCTGTAACTCCCACAATACAGAAGAGAAATAGTCTGAAAACAAAACAGAATTTGAGACAGAAATAGCTTAGCTTCTCATTGCTCTTCATAATAATTTAAGTGTGTGATTTTTTTTAACCGTACAATCATTTATGAAAATTGTTTCTTTCAAAATAGTTGCCAAGCATATCTATGATGAACTATGACAAGTCTCGAGCTAATTATGTTCCATATTATACACCAATTGACTTCCAGCTAACGATGCGTCACTTGCCACTGCATTCTTGTGTAAATTTGTGCTCTCTATACCAATTTATTAAAAAACTTAGGGAAAAAAAAACCGTTGGCTTCTTTAACCGTCACTAAATGATATACGATGGGGCAAACTGTTCCTGTCAATGCTACAAATAAAACAATACACTGCTTTATCTGTGTTATAAAAGCTAACCACGATTGGAGATTCGAATTACAATCTGCTGAATGAATCA